TTGTATAAAACCTTCAATATTAATCCAATATTAATGTATAATATATCAAAATGAAGCTCTAAGTGAGCTCTGTCTTTATACTAGAAACAGAGTTTGTACAACATACAATGTAGAGTATGGTTTATAGGCATATGAAATAAGGTGTCTCTTTTTTATTCGATTGGCTATTATAATCTTGTGACTTCGTCTTGTGATTTCTAGATTTTTACCTATAAGCTTTGGAGATTGCTATGGACACAGCAGCAAGTGATATAATTCCCCTAATTCTGCCATATTCTAACACTAGCCTTAACTATAATGCAGGCCATGCTGTGTCATTAAGGTTAGTGCTGATCATTGGTTGTGTCGATAAGCTGTGTCTGTAGCAATCTCCTAACAGTCAGGAAAAATGTCACATGTCTGCATATGTGAGTGTGCAGATCATAGTAAAATGTCGATCAATTTTACAAAATTCACTATAGATATTTTTAGTCATCCATAATTGAACTATATGATACTCACGAGATATAAAAATGAGTTTCTAGGTAACATTATTCTACAATTTTCTCTTTATCGAATAGTATAAAAATTAAGTATATTTAATATATAGACAGGAAAGGATCTTGAGCTCAAAGTTTGCAATCGTTTTAGAATCTAAATATAATAAACCTCACAAAATTTCAGTTTTTTTACTACAGTGCCTTGTAACGAAAGCCACCTTTCGAGCCAACACCTACTAGACTAACATTTTTTGAAGTTAACCTTTATAGAGTTAAGATATTATTATGCAGATCTTAAAATAAGCCTTTTGAAACTACTGTGAATGTCGTATACAAGACCTGGATCTATTTTAACACATTTTTAAACTCTTTAGTAGAACCTGGATCTAGTATATGCTGAGAGGTTATTCTGTGCAAGAAAAAAATTTCAAGTGCATATGAATGCTGCCAAGAGAAACTTTCAATTATATTTTGTACTGGGCAAATTTTCTAATAAAAATAGAGTATGCCAGATGACAGGTTTTCTCTTGGTGGCGCTTGTACTTCACAATTGGGTCTAATTCAAGTTCATAGTAGATCTATATTTTGGAGGACAGTATTTAATAATGTGATTTAAAAACGTCATGATGAACAAAAGTTTAATTTTTTTAAAAAAATTTAGATACGATAGTATAATATGAAGAACCAAGAATTCAGAATTCAAAGAAAAAAGACTTGGTGTGAAACACTCATAGTTCGAAATTAATTTGATTTCAAGTCTTAGAAAAATTTAAGTGATAGCAGAATTTTATACAGCTAAGTAATTGTATCTTTTAAGCAATTGTATTTTATTGAATAATCTAAGATGTCAATATTTTATAGCACAAGAAGCTAAGCAAAAATATCTTGAAAAAAGCGCCGATTACCTCAATACGGTGTATCGTTGATAATGCGAAAGCAGAATTCTTGACCTTCACAAATATTTAAAGTTGCTCAACGAGAATTGTAATAGTGGCATACAAGGATGCAAGAATAGAAGCAGCATGTCAATATTATTTTATCAATGGCATACCATTAATAATTAATTCACATTTATATATTTGATATAGCATGTATTATTATTTAAAACTTAAATATGAATGAATAAATTTTATTTGCCATTTTATTTAAAAAACTTTTAATAAATTTGAATTCTTAATTATTTGATCCATTTAATGATTAAATTCAAATATACAGTATAGATACACTTTTGAATAAAAAGAATAGCAGTTTAAATTCTAGTGTAATTTTCTTTCGATTCGTAAAACCTAAATAGTATATACGATCATATCGTTAAAATTGTATACAAAATTTGTGCTGTATGTAAAAACAATTAAATTCATTAAATTAATAAATATCAAACCTATTTTGTTTCAATTTATTCTTGTCTTGCTTGTCAGAATGAATCTATTTCTTGCATGTAACAAGTGTTATTTTCATAACTGACAATTGAATCTGTCAAACTTCTGAATTAAACTACTATTTTAAAAATGTTATCTAAAACGTCTTATTTAAAACATTACTTTTAAAACACACCTAAAACATTTTTTCTAAAGTATATCTAAAAAAAAAAAAGAATTATATAGATTAGTTTTTGATTATCTATAAATAACATAAATATTCTCTATTCGACGATATACAAGTTAAAAACCACATTTGCAAAAAAATACTTATCATTAAATTTTTCCACAAAACCTTGATTCATTATTGATAATGGAGAATTACTATGATTATTCTTCTGATGAAAATTTAGAAGAAAATTTTAGTACTGATCAAGATGAACCATTATTCGTTTATGATTATCTGGCTGCTATGAAGGTAAGACATTGGTTAGAAGAGCAAGATTCTTTGGAAATACTAGAAGATGACAAAGATAATGAAGATTCATTATCTGAAGATGAGAATATGGATCATAAATTCTTAAATGTAGAAAAAAATAATCTATTACCTTGCATTATTATTGATAATTTAAAAGGTGAAATTAGATGCTGCAATTTAACATATAATTTAAAATCATTATCCCAATTATTTGAAACTTGGGAAATAGAAATGACACTGGAAGAAAATTCCAATACAAATACCTTAGGTGTTTGCTCTAGTCATTTCAATTTCGATCATAGTAAACTTCACTCATCTCATGCCAAACAATTTAAAGATATCAGTCAGAGTGTAGTTAAACCAAAAAATGTTTGTTCTGTAATAAATATAAAAACTTTTTTAGTAGAGTTGATGACTGTGAAAAACATGGTTGAAATATATGTGGAAGAAATATTCAAGTACCATGTGTTGATTTAAAATCATGTCCCACTCCTCAAGAAATTGCAAATATCTTTTCAAAAATTTCTAACAGTCATCATGTTCATTATGTCTGTACAAAGTGCTTTGAAAGCAATAGTGGACATATTCATAAACGTGATGGAAAAAAATCTCGAACATGTGTTAACAATGAATTGCATAAAGATAATACTAATCAAGTCTTAAAATTATTTTCGAAATGGCTGTTAAATCTTTCATATTCTAAAAATAAAAATTAAAAAGAAAAAGTAGTACAGCATATGATGAAATTATTAGAAAATCCAAATTCAGACGTATCATCCTCTACGGATACAACCTCTACGAATACAACAAATTGTTTACCTAGCCCACTGCTAGTAAAAACTGCTATAAGGATTAATGCATTTGATTATTATTTATCTACAGATAAAAAATATATAAAAGCAGATGAATATCAACAACACAGTGAAGCATTAAGAAACTTCATACATAACTCACATAAAGATATTGAGCAATATCGTAATAATTTAGAAAATCCAAATTCATTAAATGAATATTATAATAGCTTTCCTTTAGCACTTACTAGTTTTTTGATGGATTAGTTAAGTTTATTGAAAAACATAAATATGCAGTTAGTGAAAAAAAATGAAGACAGCGTGGACAAAAAGAATCAAATTTTAATAGAGAAGCAATAGAAAAAAATATCAGCATTTTTTGCATCAGTTATTTTAACAATTGCCTTTCCTTCATGAAAAATATGGATTACTTTTACCATGACTTCCTTATACAAAAAACCAAAGTTAATTTCTTACCTGCAAGCAATACTTCATACAGTATATATAACATCTCGCACATGGAAACACGAAACAGTACTAGAAAAAGAGCGTGTTAGTAAATACAATCCATTGACAAAATTAATAAAAGGACCAAATATTTGAAATATTACAGTAATTGATAATATCGATTTCAAGGATATTGTTTTTGAATATGGCAATATTTATGATATTACATGACGATTCGCACATGCCACTTTATGACTGGTATTTCAGTTTGAACTTCCATTTAATTTTCGAATCTTGCTCAAGAAAATCAAAATCCGGAATCTCAAAAAAATTTGTTTGGTAAATCAGAATTTATAACTAAATGGGAAATAAAATTTGATCAAATAATAAGACAATTATTAAACAAAAATGAAAGAAACTTCGGAATTAGAGAGATTGATGCAGAAGTATTTAATAACATTGAGTTAGGATGTAATGTAAACCTACCAAATCTCATTATACTAGAGCCTGGGCCAGCACCTAATAGTAATGAAGCTGTGTTCAAGTCAATTAACATGTTTTTAAAAGATCTTGGTCAAAATGTTGTTAATTTAGCATGTGATGCAGCTATTTTTGGAAGAACTAAATCATATAAAAATGAAAATTTAACTTGCTGATTTATGCTTGGGCAGTGGCATACATTGAAAACTATGTGCAGTACTTTAATAGCTGCATTTAGCAGATATGGTTTATATAGCATGGCAGCAAAACTTGGTGTTAAATTTCTTGAAAAACTAGAGCAAAACATAGATTATCATTCAACATGCAATGTATTAGGATTAATACATTTTGCTGTAGCAATAGCAATTCATCTTTATCTAAAAAAAAATAATAAAATACAAGATGAGATGGATAATATAAAAATAGAGAATACCATAATAAGCAGAAATAATAATACTCTAAAAGTTTGGTACTTATATTACTGTTTAGCTGAGTATTGGAAGGCTCATCGTGCAGGAATTCGTACAAGAAATCTAGATATGCAATTAAAAAATTTGGCAGCATTCGCACCCCTATTTCCTGTTGCTGGGAAAAACAATTATGCAATGTCAATAGCATTTTTCTTAGAATCGATATTACACCATCCACAACAATACGAATTGCTCAGACATGTTGCTTCAGTAAATATTATCAGGGAATATTACTATCTAGCTTTTGATGAAGCACTAGAACAATATGGCATTAAGTTCATCAAACAGAATTTAGCTTCTGGTTTATCAGATTCAGTGCTTTTAAAACAACGAATTGCAGCAATCCAGGATGAACACAAGAGGATGCTAATGTTATATAGTGAATTTGTAAGTGATAATGTAATAGTTTCACAAGATCAAGCAGTTAAACAGTATACAGAAGTTTTATGGGAACTTGTTGATGAACTTACTTGTGCATTCAACCTTACAAATCCAAAGCAAGATAATCTCTTCAAACACACACAAGAAATGAACCAAGATGGTTATAAACGAATGTTTACTTTTTATAAGATTAGGCTTAATAGATTAGACAAACTTCTGCAAGAAGTATATAAAACTAAAAAAGTAACTAAAGACGAGTTAAAAATATAGTTAGTGTCTCAGCTAAAGAATATCAGTCATTGGTAAAAAAATGATACATAACTATAACTTTGAGATTTAAAAAAAACTTAGCAATATAAATTTTTGAAAGAATCTGAGTAATAAAACTAGAATTTATACTTTTTTTTATTTGTATTTTTTATTTATTTAAAAAGAATAATAAATTGATAATTATATAATCAGCTATCGTGACATCTTTTCTGACTTGCTAAAAAAAAAGTTTAAAAAAATAAATAATAACAAAAAAAAAATAATCTCTAGTGAAGTATAGCTTATAGTTTGAAGTTAAACCACAGCAACAATAGATCTTGTCTAAATGAAGAGGTCTTTGAGAAAAACCTTAACTGATAGAATCTAAAAGAAAAGAAAAACAATTAGCAAAAAAATAATAGGAATAAGAATGGAAAACAAAGCGCCCCCTGTATCTGAACTATAATACTATTCTCTAGTAAAATTCTCAATATCTTACTTGAAGTTAAGGTTCGGGAAAAAAATACAGCCTGAAAAAAAAACCAATAAATAAAAGAACTTGAAAGAGCTCAAAAAGGCAAATAAAACACTTATCTAAACTCGACATCTAAGCTCAAGAGATCCAAAAGCTGAGGTAGAATGCTCAAAAAAATCAAAAAAATGTGAAACGACTGAAAAAAAATCTGAATTAAAAAAAAGATCTAGTTAAGTTATCGAATAAATGTTCTGATCTATATACTTATATATAGTAAAAAATTTTAATTTATCATAATTCAAAATTTTACTAATGAAACCTACTTTGTGTTTATAAGTAACTATATAGCCTATAATTTGTACTAGTTTGTGATTAAAAGAGATCCAATACAAGTTAGCTTCGTGGAAAAGATTTTGGTGACAAAGCTAAAATCTATACTTTTTTTGTTTTCTAATACTTTTCTAAAAAAATTAAACTGTATTAAATAAAAAAGCTATAAGTAAGAGTAATAAAACTCGCAGATTAAGTTTTACTAATGCTTGAAGGTCGAATATTTAGAGAGTTTTGAGGTTTTTCTTTGCACGATTGAATAGTATTTAAAAAATTCTTGTGTAATGTTACTATGTAAAATCAGTCAGCGTGACATCTTCCTTGACTGCTAAGCTTTTGTCTATTGACATATAATAAAAAAAAAAAATGTGAATTAGATGTTTGTGATCAGATAATTATCCTTTCTAACTTATTGAATAATATTAATTTCTCTATTTATTATCTCGGCTTTTGACCTCATCATATATTTATTAAATTATTCTTGATTTTACCCATTTTTGTTCACTGTTCTGACTGTATTGTTATATCATATAGAAGCAAACTTGTTTGTACGATGTCTGCATAATTTTATATATTTTTAAGAAGGTTAAATACGATGTTTAGTAACTTATACAAATGTTGTTTC